AAAATGTGACATCAAAATTCGAACGTGCATTGGAATACAAAAGATGCCTTCCAGAAATAAGCAAAGTATTAAAAATAGGACAATTTCATTAGAAACAAAGAAAAGAGTTCTGAACTGCTATGTCGCATAATTCCCTCTACGATTTGATGACATGCTGTAAAATTTAATCATGGATAAACAGAAGACTGGAGACAACAGATATGTAGTTCTACAAAAGGATGTTGAGAATACCATGAACGAATCATATGCGTAATCAGGAAGTCTCAATTAGAATGAAAACAAAACGACTTAGAATCAAAACAGACAGTTGAAATTAATAATGAGGAAGGAGGGCTTAGAAAATTTAACACTCAAGACATATCGAGGCAAAAGTGATTGGAAGAGGTAGCGAGCGCCATACATGACGAGCATATGAAAACGGAATAGCGGAACGGGGGTGGGACAGAGATACAAAGAATGGGAATTTGTGGAGAGCTATAATCCTCCAAGGACAAAAGGTACAGGGAATATAGAATAGACTATATATTTTGTGTCAGTATATGCTATTTTGAGAATGAAAACATTGATTAGTGAACCGGTTCAGAGTAACTAGATCTGCCATAACACTTTGCAAAAAGGAAAAATAATACTTAAAAGAAAAAGAATCACGCAAAATTTTAGATGGTAAATACCAGCACAACATAAACACCGAATAAACGTTAATGCCTAATATCAATAGGAAAAGTTGTAAAAGAAAAGTGACTGTTTCATTCATGGTCTCGTTGCTTAAAATTACAGCAAAAATCTTTAGCAAATTTTCTACTGAAATCAATCTATCAACATTAATAGACATGACACAGAAGGCTGTGAAAGGCGTTCACATATTTATGTATAAGGAAATTAAAAATAGGGTTGCATGAATTTATAGTTATAAATCGACGGGAACATATTCTAAACAAAGGCTAGGTATCATTTTGGGCCTAAAATATTTCATGAAAAGGTGGTGAGCGTGGGGATTAATTTTTCCAATTTTTCTTTACATTCTAAACAGTTTTCTCATCCTTGATTTTTTCTGTTTTGTTTCTTCATTATTTTTAAGCTCGTGTTACTTGATAACTATATTTCCTCCTCTTATGCTTCAATATTCATCTTTATTTTTTATTTGTTATTTTCCTCTGCAATCATTTCATCCATAAAAGGAAAATATTGAAAAAAATTAATTGGATCTTAGATCAGGAAAACTGATTTTCTTGGGGCTTTCGTTTATTTCTTTGTGTGAATTACCCTTTCAAGACAACATGGCGACTCACTGTGTAAAAAAGTGACAAAATAGAATTAAAAAAAAATAGAACTGACGTCCTTCAGACTCCATCTTTCTGCAATCCATCAATTTGCCTCGTCCCATCAACATTTTTTGTCTACGGATGTGTTTTCACGCGCGCGATTTTTTATTTCTTTTTTTTTTTTTTTTTTTGTTAAATACATCTGGTGAGCTACATTCGAACAAAATTTACATTAAGTTCTTATATAATATATAACGAGAAAAAAATTAAGTGATCTATGATTTACAAATCGTGAATAACGTTCTAAATTATAGTACAAGAAAACAAAAAAAAAACAAGTCAAAACCTTTCAGTACTCATCGATATTTAAGGTTAAGTTGAGTGGATATTGTTATGTATTTATGTAGATGTAGGTTTTATAAATGTAATAATGATTTATTACATTTTTAAAACTATATCAGTGAACGCTGATATTCAATTTACTTATGTCTTGAAAGAAATGAGGGTAGAGAGAGGTGGGGTGAAGGAAATGGACTAGAGAGAGTGGGAGAAAAATGGGGTGAAAGGGAGAAGCAAGAAATCAAATGCAAGATACATGAAAGTGATAGAAAGAAAAATCTATATAGAAAGATTGCGGGAAAAAAATGAATAAAAGCTGGCATTGATGCCTATAAATATGTTTCGTCAATTAGCGTGTTACAAACAAATCAAAGTTAACCTTTGTGTCACAAACTAAACTGTTTTGTAGTTACAATTGTATTTTTCAAAAAAAAAATTCAATCTACATGCCTTGTAATCATATTTCAGGGTTTTATAAGGAATAAATTTTTCCAGTTATCACAGAATTTCCATTATTATTATTATTATTATAATTATTGCTGAAAAGACAACAAAACTGAATCTTATTTCAATGTCTTATTTGCCCATATTATTTTGGTTAAAATTGTTCAGTCACATGAAAATGTTAGCAAATCAATAAAAACGTAAATTTTGTAATTCTTTTTCTTCGTGTATAGAAAATCGACGAGTGAATAAAGCAAGCCAATACGGCATTTAAAGGAGCCTCTTTATATTTGTTGCACCTGTCCTGTGTCTGAAATGCACTGCATCGTTTCAAGTTAAATTTCTTGTGGTTAGACAATTGTTTTTAATTTCGAGCCACGAAGTTTATCGTTTTAAGTTTGTAATCAAAACTGAAAAGATTACCTTTAAATATTTAATATACGAAATCGTTCTCATTCGATTTCCTTTAATAAAAGAAACAAAACATCATCTTCAATAGTTATGTATTCATAACAAAAAATTGTTTCTGATTTGTTATTATTATTATTATTATTATTATCCATTAACACTCCGTTTTCTGTACAGGAAGACGAGTCATTATACTAGCGCGAATTTTCCTCGGCAGATGGCGCAAAGATAAGATGACCAGACCCTTCAAAGTATTCAATTAAACAGTGACGCCCTTTCTTTGAATTCAAAAGAAATGAACAAGTTTCTTTTCTAACGTTATTTTTTGTTTTTCCTCTTGTTGCTGTTTTGCTGAATGAAATATTAGTATTCCTGGCTCACTAAAAAAAAAACAACAAAAAAAAACATTTTTCTTAAAAACAACGAATATCCAGCATGGCGTCTAAGAAATTCTTTCTGACATTTTTTTTATTATTATTTTTTTCTTATTTGAATCCATGGTCATTATGTATCTTTGGTTTTTTGTTGTCGTTTTAAGATCTTTAAGGATTTTCTCAATTTAGTACTACACAGCACAATTGTCTAAATGCATTTTATATTATTTACGAAATAAGTTGCGAAGACGTTAATACTGAATGAGTAACAAGAGTTAAATGTTCCTAATGACTGGACCAATATTATTTAGGAAAAAAAATAACATCAGAGCGGTAAAAAGAAAAATAGTAAAAATAATAGAAAGTGTGATAAGTATAAAAATAGGATATAAAACGTATAGCTATTAAGAGATTTGTCTTACAAAATTTGTCATGACGCAAAGAGCAAACTACATATTGATATGATCACTCAGTTGAGTGTCTCAAAAAAAAAAGATTATAGTAAATTAAAAGAAAAATCTTTCAAAGAAAGAAAAATTTGAAAATAAAAAGAAGAGAAGGAAACTAATGAAAGTAAAAATAAAAATTGTACGGTGGTGGAATGAAATATCTTAGATAAAGAATAAGAAAAATAACATTTAACAAAAATAATCAGAGTATTGAATGAATTGCTTGGGCAATATTTATACCGCAATTCACTCTTAATTCTTATCGTCCATTTTATATCTTAAAGCCATCTGCTCACAGCGAATATTTCCTTCTTTTATTGGAGAGTTCAACAATGTCATTCCTGCACATTTTTTGAAAGAAATGTTCTTGAATGTTATATTATTCTCGTTGTTGGTATTTCCCTCTAATTTACTCTGGCCGGATCCTGAAAACGGAAATCAGTTTTCTAAAAAAACTAAAATAAAAAAAGCTTGCAACAAAAGAAAGAAGCTGCAGATGCTCAATGAAATATGCATAAGACAGGCCCACCTATTTTATAACTGCCACGAAAAATGTTCACTTATTGCTGTCCGTGCTTGGATTGAACAACTTTCAGCCAAAGAGCAGCGAACCAACTTACAATTATTGACAAAAGTTTTTTTTAGGAATGTTTTATTCTAAACTTCAAGAAAGTTTACGATTTCTATTATTGAAGATGTTTTGAGATTTTTTTTCAATAGTTGGTAAAAAAAAATGAGTCATGTTTAAACATACGGTAAACAAACCACAAAAAATAGAGAAATCAAATGTAGCTTTTAAGCAAATAATTTTTTTCATTAACTTAAGTTAAATTCGTATTAAGTCGCCTTTAAAGATTCAAGTTATATAGATTTAACTTCATAGACATTTTTTAAACCTAAATTAGCCTTTTATTATATCTGATGTATCAAAAATACATGGATTTCATTGTTTAATGTGACTATATATTCATTTCTTATTTTCTATCTTTAATAAACATAAAAGTGACCGACAGTTTAAAAGTTCATTATATTTAAGATCTTTTACCCAACAGAATTGTTTACACAATTGATTTTCATGACAAAAGCACGGACTTTTCAGTTTCCTGATCATTAGTCTAATCACAGAAATATTTATTATTCTTTCTTTCGTGTGTTGTACTTTTGTTGTTGCAGAACAGCATGATGAAACCAGAGTTGAAAAAGATTTCCGATGAAGGAAAACAGAAAAGAAATTATGAAATCAATAAAAAAAGGGTGAAAACTTGTACTTCTGTATATTTGCCATCAAATATTATCAGTTTTGATAAATACAGATTGTGAGAATATAAATATTATCAATTTATTTGATCTTTTTTTTAATGAACACGGATGCACACAAAACTACTGAAGCGTTATTGCCCATTGTTCAATGAATTTTTAAAAATCAAAGTGCATTGTATTTATTAGTCTAAAAATCGGAATCTGGATTCTTTTCAAATCATTTGCATTTATTTCAAAGGACGAAAGAGGAATATTTTATTTGATTATTATTTTAGAGAAATTTGGCTAAATTGTTTGGAATCGTGCCCTTGTGATTTTTTAATTCTTTCAAATTTCCTGGTATATTTTATGACTTTTCTTTCAGTTCTAAGAAATAAAGTGACGAGAAAGAAAATAAACAAAACGTTTAATCTCCTTTATGTGAATAGAGTCTATAATCCATAATTGTTATATTTCTATTACAGTATTTGCCTTTGCTAATTCATATGGTACCCTGTTCTTCGCTCGATCGATACAAGGGATTGGTTCTGCTTGTTCCAGTGTCTCTGGTAAGTAAAAAGAAGTGTTAAGTATCTAAAAAAATAGAATCCAAGGAGATCTATATGTAAAATTTCAGATATAACTAAAATTATATCTGTAAAAGGATTATGAATAAAGTTTTCTAAAGTTTTCCTTTTGTCACACACAAACATATATATATATATATATATATATATATATATATATATATATATATATATATATATATATACAATATTATCCCTCACTGGTAACACGACTGGAAGTTTCATGCACAACACAGTCTTCAGGTGCTGAGTATAGACTGACTGTCATGTAATTTAAATTTTAATAAAAAATATCTGGTTACCGCAATGTTATGGGCACTTTGAAGTGGTGTAGTGGTTAAGAAGCTTGTCTCGCTAGGACGATTACGACTGAGTAGTGAGCTCGATTTACACCTAGATGCCCCATACCTTAGGCTTTGTACTGCACCTAGGCTACGATTGGAAAACCCCTATATTATACCGGGATTATAGTTTTCTTTATTTAATAAAATATATTTGGCATTTAAAATAAACGAGATTTATATATATATGTAAAAATGTTATTTTAGATTTGTGAATATTATATGTGCGATGTATATATATATATATATATATATATATATATATATATATATATATATATATATATATTATATGAGATTAAAACAAAAATATGTTAAAAATCGCTACACAATAACTTTCATGTTTCAATCTCATATAATAAATATTAAGCTCTAAACTGTATTGAGCCCTTCTTTCAAAATTAAATGCTACAGACAGTGGAATTATACTCAATTGGTTCTTATCCCATACCTGGAGATATATATATATATATATATATATATATATATATATTACTCACTACTGTCGCTTCACAATTCTGGTTCCTCACGGAGGTTAATCGTCCTGTGTATGACAATAAACTACATTCAGCAGCAAGGCCTCGTGATCGAATGATTTTGAGGAATGTGGAACCACCTCTTAATTGCTGTTGTCCCCAGGTACACTCTGACCAGGGGTGGTAGTACCTGTTATGGTCCCAACTGTTTTGAAACACTATGTAAGTATAAAAATAGATTTTTATGGTAAAAATACTAGCAATAATTTTTTTTTAAATACTACCAGCAATACATTTAACTCGACAAAAATCCTCTTTACATAAATGAAACCTGATCTGCAAACTGATTTCATACATATTCTATTCATACGAACCTATACTAAAAATCTTGTCGGCATTAAATAACCCATTGCGGTTGATATGCCGTAAAACAAAATAAACCCTAAAAATAAACTCAGATGAGGTTAAGCATTAAGAAACAATCTTATAAACTAATCCACGTATTTATTATATTATGGAAATTTCTTAAATGATTTAGCCATTAACCTGGCTAACATACTTTGTTTTATGTTTGCAATTTGTTAATCTTTCATTCATTCATTTTAATTAATGTACTCCGTTGGTCTCGGAAGATGGCTATGACCAATTAATTTTCTTGGCATAAGGAGCTTATGCCAAGAAAATTAATTGGTCATAGCCATCTTCCGAGACCAACGGAAGCATTATAAATTTCTGCTCTTTTAATGATCCTACATCTTATTAATGGGTTTATATTTTTCTTTAACCTCCCATATGGATTTTGATATGGCGGTGCTATTTTTATAAAAGATTAATGATGTCCTATGAAAATAAATATGGAAGCTTAAAGAAAAAGAAAAAAAAATTAATAAAATGGATCGACGTTAAAAGAGCACAATGCGATGCGAACCGTTTGCACTTTGCTATTCTTGAAATTCATATTCTTGCCATAGAAATTACTAAATTAACTTCATCTTAGTCATTTTTTGCTGTATTTTTTTCTATTGTAACTGGCTCTAGTACTTTACTAAAGGAAGGTTTGGGAAGGTTGTATTTTTTTAATGAGTAAAATATATGAGAGGGAGATGTTCAAGATCAACTTGAAACTTTGTTAATCTTGAGGATTTATACTTCTATTTTATAGAATCCTTTTTCTTTCTTTTCAGACACTGGATAACGTAGCTTTTGATAAATAACGGGTTTTCTCTTTCAGTCAATGATTTATTAATATTACATTCAAGCAATGGACGTAGGGACTTTTGATTTAATTTGATGTTATAAATAAGTTGAATACTAAGATCGGATAAAGACAAAATAGGTGCTTTTTTCGATCTTTCTTCAAAGATCCAATCACTCTGACTAAAATCTAAGAGGCAAATTATCGAAAAAATGATCACACAAACACATACATACATATATATATATATATATATATATATATATATATATATATATATATATATATATATATATATATATATATATATATGCATGTTTCATTAAAATTTAAGACGGCCAACCTTATCCTCAAAAATAACAACACACCAACTAAGTCAAAATTACAAAGAACAAACATTATCTATGAGTTCAAATGCCCTTTAAGGAACTGCGTTCCTCACCAAACCGGACTCATAAATAATTACATCGGCTACACAACCACATGTTTATCCAGACGTCTTACATTACACCTATCTGATCACAGTTCCATCAGAACACATTTAAACACACACTCAGATTTACCCGACACTATTAGGAACATACTAGTAGAAAACACAAATATATTAACTGCATCCACTTGCAAAAAAAGACTAAAAATAATGGAAGCTCTAATAATAAAAAAGAAAAAGCCAACTCTTAACAATATTAACTATGAACAAAGCCACAATGTGCTAACCGTATTCGGAAACTAAAAACATCACTACCACACACTGAACATCACAGAACACACACACTCTACTAAGCTGATAATTGAATCATCCTTGATAATGGCTAAAGATATAGCCGAAAGCGCTCGGAAATACAGAACATTCGGACAGTTCTTACACACTCTTTGTCCAGAAAAGAAAGCTCTTGTCAGAACACAAGAAAAATTAAATAAAAAGCTCAACCGTAGTACCTTGTCTGTCGTTTTTAATGAAACATGCATAAAGGAAGGATTGCTGCCTAAATATACAAATATATATATATATATATATATACACAAGTATAGGATTGGTGTATACGGAATAAATATTTTTTCTTTTCTCCTCAGTAATTTTATAATTTTAAACTTAATAGAGATTAAATTTAGTTTTTAAAATTGGCAATTTTTACTTATAATTTTAATATCAAATTTTATCATATAATTTAATACTTATTGGTTAGAATAAATTCTATTTTAGTATAACACCAACTTTAAAGTTTTAATAGTTATTATAACCTTACTTCGTTGTCAAGTTTTTTTGAATTCTCGTATACTTGTGTTTTGATTGGTCACTCTACCTTATGTAACAGCGTTTTCCCCTGGCGAAGGATCGTTAATTAATTTGAAATCTTTAAAACCATTTATTCTACATTCAACATCATCACTTGATAAGACACCGGAGGTGTTGAAACAAAATGGCTATTTTTGTATTGATTGTATAACATATTTATGTTATAATTTTTAAATGAATAATTATATATATATATATATATATATATATATATATATATATATATATAACATGCTGAACGACGACAAAAAGATGACGTCCAAGCAACCCCTGAATATACGACACTAACAGAGACATGGTTTGTGAGCTTTCAAAATAACATCGCCTTCTTTTGAACTCAAACATCGGTATCTCCTTGTCATGCCAATATTTTGGATTTCATAAAAAGAACTTCATCAATCCAGAAAAATAGAGAATATTCAATAATATTTTTTGTTCTAATAAATTTTGTGATACCTCACATCCGTTTTATTGGGTTTTGTATCCCTAATGTTATAGAACCAAGCAGTGTAATACATCGCTTGTTCTCAATCGAAAAATAATCGAACTGTGACTAGCTATCAAATTATGAAAGAATTACTCACAGCGAAACGCAGAAAGTTGGACGGCCTAGATGATGAAGACTCACGTAAACACGGTCATCAAACTCCCACACCTGTCGCCCAACATCACTCTTACCCTTGCATCATTTTCTTCTTTTTCATAAGCCATCAATCAAAATCCCCCAATATGGCGTCAGTGCTCGTCAGCTTTCCGCCTTGTAATTTGCACTGAGCCGTTTGGCTATTTTTGCAGTTAGAGGGTTTAGGGCGCGCAAAGTGAAGCTGTAATCCTTTTTAACATGTAACGCTTACTGTACGTGTGCGTGAGATACTTGCCCGATTTCCACCTATCCCTTTCCCAAACCAATAGCAGGTCCCTTTATCATACGCCGACCGCTTTTACTTTTCACTCAGAGATTGGATCGTTCCATTTACGAACCAAAGGAATACCATGCTTTTAAGAGAAAGAAAACAATGAATTAGGGGGGGGGCGTTTTAATACAAAGTAAATGGAGCGACTTTACGGTTTTTCGCTGTTCATACACTGTACTGCGTATTGATTCGAGCAAAGATTTCGATGGCAATCATGAGTTAAGTTTAATAATTTATTAATGATGACGATGATGATGTAAGCCGAAAACAGTTCCATAGTTACGTAGATATTTATACTTAGTTAGATATGTAATTATGAATATATACATATGTCGGAATAATAGTAGACAACTGAACGACAAAATTGAAAACGTTTCTTTCCGAGAAGCAATTTCAGACAAATAAAAGAATTCATGGAATCAGATTTGTATATAAAAGTGGTGACAAAATGGGAAAAGTGAAATTAAATACCGGTTATAGTTTACATCGAAATATCAAAGATACAGAGACGCTCATCCTTTAAACGCCTTATGGTAATTTTCTCAGCGGATCTTAAATGTGGCTCAAGTATGGGGATCGAACTCGATCATAATTGATCTAACAAGATAAGCTTAACCATTATACCATATCGAAGTGCCGTAATGATTTTCTAAGCGTAGCTTAGATATGGCACAAGACCGAAAGCATGGAGCACCCAGTAAGGATCAAACTCACTACTCAGTCATTATTGATCTAGCAAGAAAAGCTTGCTTACTATTACACCACATCTGAGAGCCTCTTTAAACATCTTATGTATCTACATGTTAATTAAACCTATGTCATTCAGCTTTTTATCGATTTTATTTTTATTCATTTTATTGAAAGGTTTATGATGGGAATATCTTCACAAAAAGGTTTTGTTGATGGATAAAATATTTTGAATGCTAAAAGTATTATTAAAATCGATACTGGATTTCAATATTTTATGTGAATATGACATGAGCTCGGCAAAAATTTAACCCAAAATTCATATGAAGTTCAAAAACTAGTATTTTAGAAAATATTCCCTTTCTGTCTGCATTGCTTTTCTTCTCTTCATAAACCAGATTCAATCCTCATAAAGCGCAAAATAGTTAAAAAAAAAAAAAAAGAAGAGAAAAAAAGCAACATAGTTATTCCAAGCTAAATATTAGCGCTAACAGCTCAGTTGGGGGGAAAATTGTCTGGTTACAATCAATTTCTCGAAAACCAAACTAGTTATATTCCATCATGGCCGAACGGGTGAACTACATTCTTTAGTTAGACAAGTTCCAATCTTCACGGTTAACAGAGCACATTGAAGTATTCCATGGGTGAGATGTAATTTCGACTCGAGCAGCTTCCCATAAACCGCTACTTTGTGGAACCGATTCTCACGAGGATACTTCTCCGACCAACTGTAATCAACCTCTTCAAGTCTAGGGTTAATAGTTATTTTCCTTACATATCCTAATAAAGTATCCTTTTTACATTGTAACACTCTACTTCGAGCGGCTCTTGGGCTTTGTACAGGATGAACCTAACTGTAAAAAAAAAATAGTCGACTTATCCTCACTAACCAGTAAATCACGCCCAGGTGTAATAAAGACAGATTTAGCAGATAACTTCATTCCCATATGAATGCATGATCATATGGGAAAAAGACATATGACATATGAATGCATGGTCATATGGGAATATGACATGACATATGAATGCATGGTCATATAGGAATTTGGCATATGACATGACTATGAATGCATGATCATAAGATAAATATAAAAAGCACTATTTCTATAACTGTTACTTTGTGGAACAAACTCTTGAGAGAATGCTTCTCTACTAATTACAATTTTGGTCTCTTTAATTCCAGGCTCAACCTATATCTGTCCCACTCGTCCTTATAATACTCTTATTTCTTTTTTCACCCCCCCACTTACAATCTCACTCACCTTTACCTTGTGTGAACTTTGCGTCTTGTATTGGGTGAATAGAAGTAAAATGTAATTTGAATTAAAAACTAAATGTGATGCATGAAAATATAATGTAACTAGAAATAAAAACTATTTTTATGGTCAATGAGTTTAGTCATTGCTGTTTAGTCCAGTAAAAAAAATGGAAATATAAATAATAGCATCATCATCATCATCATCAACATTAGCAATAATATTCGTTATGTTTGTCTTTTTTTCTTTTCTTTTTTTTCATTTTAGGCATGGGCATGTTAGCTGACAAATATCCAGATGATGCAGAGCGAGGAAAAGCTATGGGTGTGGCGCTCGGCGGTCTAGCCATCGGGGTCTTGGGTAAGTTCACCTTTCACCTATTCATTCGATCTGGCATTCAAAAGTTCCCAAAATCTGATCAAACATCAGAATATTTATTTTGAAAAGGTTTATACGCTCTTTGTATTCTGTTCCATTGAAAACTCATCTGTTTAGGCGAAATTTATATTTCGATTTTATTTCCCTGTCATTTGATATCTTATACAAGAAACTATTTCTTTTATTTGATTGTTTGTTTTGTTTGTTTTTTTTTTCCTTTTTGGTTACATGTAGCATTTTCTTTGGGATTAGGTTTCAAATAAATGTTTATTAGTACAATATGTATAATATAAAATTCAAAGTTTTTACGCAATGTTATTTTAATTTAATTTCTTTTTATACTACTGATAATTTTTAAATGGTCCACGTTCGATCAGAATGCTTTATAGAAATCAACTGAAATATATTTCACGAAAAGGAATTAGGGAAAATGTATTTACCTACGAGTCATCAGTGCAAAGTTAAATGAAGTAATCCTAAATAACGTTTTAACAAAAACGATAGATCAATTAAATTTATAATAAACGCAGTCTAAAGTATGAACCTACTGTTACACCGAGGAGCAAAGAAACTCTTTTAAAAACAAAAAATAATCTGACATTTGATCATTTAACATTTTGGAAGTGGGCCCTGCTGAATACTTTTCAGCACCTCTCTCATATCTGTCGAAATGCGCCTCTTCTGAATTCGCTGGTGTAGTGAAAATCTTTTTTTTTTTAATAGAAAAAACTGACTTTTTTTTTATTCAAACTACAATAGATTACTTTCTTTAAAAAGAGAAAGCTTAGAAGGCGCTTGTCTGTATCTTCAAATCAAACGGCTTGTTGCGTTTAGGGAAATGTTCGACTGATTCTTGTAATAAAAACACGTGCCTTGAGTATGAATTTGGGTAGAATTTAGAGTCTAAATTTGAATAAATAAATATTTAATGCAAAAAGATGCTTATGAGTCATATTGTGTTGACTCCACACGATTATTTTTAATACACATAAAACTAATAATGAGGCACATTTTAACCATATATATATATATATATATATATATATATATATATATATATAATGATCCGTAAAAGGGAATAGCCGTACTTTTGTCACATGACTAGTAGTCTCATCTTAACAGTTCTTGATGTGTTAAAATAAATATGGAGAGCCGTATGATTTCAAAGTTAAAATCCACATAGTCAGCAGGCGATCAATCCTGACTGGGTGCGTAGGTGAAAAGATGAACTTAAATGTTTCACTTATCCTTTATCATGAAAACATCTACATCGGGTGGATGCAAAAATGACTCGATCAGTCATTAAAAAACAACTGACGCTAAAACGAACAATTCTTGTAATTATTTGGCCATTCTTATTTTATTACTATGTTTTATTATAATTTGCAAGGAAAGAGAAAATACCACTTCTTTCCTTATAGATTCTACGACCTGAAGATGGTTGTAGACGGGAACGGCCGTAACGTTTTGCTAACAATTGTACAACAATGAGTTGAGTAGAGCAAACAACACTTGGAATAACATTTCTCAAAATGATATTCGGTCTGAAATCAACCATGTTTATACCAATAAGTTAAGAAAATAATTAACTGTTTACAATTCATGTATGAATTCTGCGAGAGTATTTGTAAGAAACCATCAAGCTTCCTTCATCTACAATTTTCTCTAGATTCCAATTACTTAGAGAACTAAAAAGAAAAAGTTGATTAAACACGCAAAGAATAAAGAAATTTTTAAAAAATGTCCACCATAAAAAGTGAATTACTTTCTTGATGTAATTTTTAAGCTTTTCATATCATTTCAGACAAAAATAACTTTTTTCGCTATTCGTATGGACAATTCTTTCGGTACATGACATTTAAAACAATTTTAACTTTGTGTTTGAATTTTACATCTTTGTTTGTGAATCTTTTATTTGAGTTTATTACTTGAATTTAATTATGTAAGCTTTTTCAGAATAAATTTCATTCCTATGCCATAAAGTCACTTATTTCTAAAATGGCTGCCAAGTAATGATATATATATATATATATATATATATATATATATATATATATATATATATATATATATATATATAAAATTCTGTATATCTGCAAAGAAGCATACTTAACTATGTAATTTTAGATACATTCTTAGATGTTCTTTATAAATATATTGCGTACACAGTATCCGTGATAATGTAAGAATTTGTAAATCGTTGTGACTTAGCGTCTGATATGAATGCAAAACTTCTGTACGTCGTGTCCCTTCAGGACGTAGGCAATAATGACTCTCCACAATTTCTTATCCTTTGTTCTTCTTAGTAAAGTTTGTCTTGATTTATCTTCGAATCGCTGTTCTGACAATCATTTACACATACTCGTTAGGTAGATTAAGAGTTGCTTCCTCTGTCCCTCTTGCCTTCAATATGTCCTGTGAGTATTTCTTCATTTGCCCTAGAAAATTCACTTGATGTTAAGTATAAGTGTTCCTTGTGTTACAATTTTCTCTAAAATTGCGTCATTGCTCACATCTTCAGTCCATATTGTCAGCATCTTTATGTAGAATCACATTTGTTGCCTCAAGTCTCTTCTTCATCTGCGAGGAGATTGTCCAGCATTCACTGCCTTATAGTAGGACCGAATATTATATAAAAGTTCAGCACTCATCTTTGTTTCTAACAAAATTTTCCTTTTTCTTAATACTTTACTTAGCTTTTGGAAGACATTTTCACTATCCCGATGAACTTTTAGATTTCGATGTCGCATTTTAGATACTCTGTTCAAAAAAAGGCTTCCTAGATATTTACGTATGTATAATTAGACACGCACAGAAATGGACATGCTGTCTCTTGTTCCACTATATATGCTGATCATTATCACTTTATCGATTTCTTTGTTAGTGTTCCAGATTTCACTTACATATAAGATGTGTGTGTGTGTGTGTGTGTGTGTGTGTGTGTGTGTGTGTGTGTGTGTGTGTGTGTGTGTAAAAAAAGTGCTGTGTATGCATGATACCGTGCTATGGCCATACTCGTCAGTGAAGTGGCGGCCATCATGTATGTAAAAATGTACTAGTTTTATTTATTTATTTTTTTTTTCTGGTTAGGTTTTTTTCATTGACTCTCCAAATCTCTGCTGCCTGTTGCTCGTTATTCTGGGCGAGGTGAAATGTGGGTGGGGAGAGAACACTCTTACCCAATTTCGTCCGTTCTCGTGAAGAGCTCGTATCTGTCTGCAGCAGCTGCCATCGCCAATTCTTTACCATTGATGAAGTCCCAATCTAAATCACTGCAAAAGATGGCGCTCAGTTCTTTTCAATTCACACAAACAACAACGCTTGTTCTGAAAGAGTGGTGGCTATAGATGGTTGTCTGCACATGCACGCCTGTGTGAATGCACTAACGTTTGTGTTTGGTGGTTTTGTGCGAAAATTTGTGAAAACAGCACCTTGTATATGTGCATATGTAAGTGAGGTAAGGTGCGTACGTTTATCTATGCATTTGTCTTGGTATCTTTAGGCGACCTTTTGTTGTGATCCAACAAGCCTACCGTTTCAATTTTTTTTTTTTGTATATATGATTGATCTTTATCATTAGTACAAAAATATCTAATTTCTTCTACCCACTCTTATTGCATCCCCTTTCCTTTCCATTCTATTTTTCCTTTTCTTTATCACTTCCGGTTTACCCTTTTTTCTGCACATACGTATCGAGAAAGTACACATGTCTGTAAGCGCAATGAGTCAAATTTTATACATCGTAAACTCCCAGATTGGTTGATGGAGATATGTGAAAAGGCTTTACAAATTGAACATCAGCTGCAAACTGCTTACGTCATCTCTCGTGGATGATCGAGACAACGGCATAGATATGTATATCTCTGAGTCTTTTTTTTTTTTTTCATTGCTAGATATCTTGATTTTATCTCTTCTAGTGGGACGGGATGCTGACAGTAGAAAATAAAGATGATCTCGCATTCTCACTAATATACGAGTTTCCATAACAACACAACATTGTCTACAATCTACACTGGGACTTAACGAAAGGTTTTTAGAATCAATGAAATTTCTTTAACTTCTAACTAATTGCGTTTTGGGATGAAGCATTGAGTATTTCTATTGAGTTACAAAAGTTCATAGTTTTTTTGCAATAGATTTGAAGATAATTTCTTTTCGCTCGAGAGAATTTTATGATATATATATATATATATATATATATATATATATATATATATATATATATATATATTGAAAGGTAACATTTCAAAACGTGAATAGTAGTCTTGTATGAATTATGAATTATAAGTGTATATATTATAATGTAGTTTTTTTACAAAAATCCTCACAGTATTGTTTTTAAAATAGTGGAAGTATTTTGTATGCTTTTAATTTTCCCACAAAATTAATGAATATTTATTGTATTAAACTACGCAACATAGTACCTGTTTGCACTTCTCCCAAAAATTTAGTTTCGATCGATGAATGTATGAATATTTTAGAGAATGCGTGGGGCGAAAGTCATAATTTTATATATAGATAGATTTTTGTTAAAAATGAAACCGGGGTGGGGGGGGGAATGAGGTGCCTTATCATTATTTGATGTTCTTATTTCCGGAAAGAAAAACACTGTAGAAACGACGACAAATGCTGTTTCTGAAAATGATAGAATATTCGTAAGTAGTTCACTAGAGTCAAGAACACATGGGACAGTGGATAAAGGCGTTGGTTAGATCCAGTGACAGACCCAAAGAAGGTGAGTTCAATTCCTGGTTAAGGCAGTGGAGAACTTTCAGAGGGAAAATTAGCAGGAGATAACTGAAAGCTGACATCCATCAAACATGGCGCGTGGAACTAGAACAGTCTACCCCAGTGATCGAAATAAAGGGTTCAGTTCGAAATTCCTACCACCTGAAGAAGGCCGGAGCGTACAACGGCCGAAACGTTGTGACAAATATGGCGACAAAGATGAGGAGAATAGTCCGACTAATGTAAATACTGTA